GGACAATATCATTGCTACGGGGTTCTGGGGGCGTTACAGATACTTTGGTACATCAAATTATTCTTCTAACCTTGAATATGTTAATTCTCTACTCATAATTTCTTTTTGATCATCAACCATTTTATACAACTTATCCATACTTCTTACGTATATCACATTCAGTTAACTTTCTCAATTTTACGTATATATGTTTACAGTTACTGAACATATATACGAATGAGTTATATAGATATGTGAATAGATTGAAAAGATGTGTATATGAATAACGTACGTGATAGTGTAATTGTCTAGTTTATATATTAATAGAAATTCAACAATCATATTAAATCGAAGAAATAAATGGATATCGGGTTCATCTGGTTGAATTGAGTTCAAATAATAGTAACCCAATATCAACCCAATACCTATGGTTTGAAAATTTTACAACTCGATTAGACATCGGGTTGCTTCATGTTGAGTTATTTCGCGTTGGGTCGATCGGGTTGGTCGGCTTTTTGAGCACCACTAGTCATGGATGTTTAAAAACCAAAAACTTTTTTAATTTTCCAGCAGGGTTTTTTAAACAGGTTAATTGGGCTTCTTTAACCGGGCTTACATACAGGGGTAAACCGGTCAGTTATAACCGGGCCTAAGCGGTCCCTTTTTCTAACCGGTCTAGGTCCTGGTTCTGCTTAGATAGACTTAACCCGGTTCAGTTGTTTCAAAATCACTCTCTCTCGTTCCTGTTTCACTAATAAAATACAACTAATTCCTTTGAATATCTGCTCAGAAAGTGTCGGCATATATCCTAACCAACAGACCTTACTGTCTCAATGGGTTTTCGGCATCTTTCAGTCGATCAAGACAGGAAGGTCTGAATCTATCATAACATGAATAAGTTGTTGCCGTGTTCTTGGCGTACGAGTTGACTATGATCTACAACAATTAACAATGAATTAAATGAAGGAATTTTCAGCAGCTTCTTGTCCCAGATTCATGGCTTTTGAACTTCCAACCCTGGGATTTCGTTCGTTTTCGTGTATATGATCGAGCCTTTTTGTAACCACATTGGCCTTGTTTCGAATCCTTCCTGATAATAAAACTCAAAACCCAACAAAAATCAAAATCTAAGTCTATGCATGAACAATGAAATGGTTGCTTACATCTCAACATTCTTCTTTCTTTTCGATTTCGCAGATTCATGGTGCTCGGTTGATCCACACGAAGGCGGAATACCACTGTCGCGGCACATGGTACCGCTGCTTTCCGCATTGAGTCTCGAGTGAGAGAATGACACGATTTCGGAAGCGTAACTTGCTTTCTTTGGAGATGACTCCGTGATAGTAAAAGAAGACGCCGTCGATGTATCCTGTCGCAACCGGATGCAAAAAGATGAATATATACCATTCTAAAATCAACTGTGTTTGTTATTTGTGGTTACCTGACAGATACTGGTGGGATCTTGATCGGTTCGGAAGAGTTCTTCGAAGTTCCGGAATGTGAGATCGATATCGGGTATGTTCAAATCATCCAAGCATGCTGGTTCTTCACATACACCAAGATCTTGCATATTTTGAGACCATAACTGTGCACAGATTTGAAAAAGAAACTGATGATTTGTATCATTCTTCTATGACAAGATGCCATTTTGACTAAAACAAACATAAGTATGGTGAAACCTGGCTGCTTGGAACTGGACTTTTGCATTGCCAAAATGAGTCTCCATGGAGGCCAGTTTCTTCGGTTTCAGAAGATTCTAAATGGTCCAATTGTGTGAATGGCGATGAACACGGATCCAGACCGATCTCGTGGTGACGGGGACTCCCCCCTCCGAGCAAGAATTGTTGAGAAAACCGATGGACATCGGTCTCCGGCTTGTGATCTTGGCGACGTGTAACCGCTGAAATATGATCAATATCGGACGTCTGAACCTTTAACAAATCAACAAGTTGTTGAAGAACAACGAACTCTTGTATACCGCCACAAACTTCCTATCGACAGAAAAAAAGTCGAACCACAAGGAATCGTTTCGACTATTTGTGAAAATACGAAAATACCCTTCGATAAAAACCTATAGAAAAAATAAGTAATGAAATCTTAAGTATGGAAAAGTGTATTCCACAACCATAGATATTTTGAAAACCATAACAACCTTACATTTCAAGAGAAATATAATATTTATAAAATATTTATGGTTTCTAAATGAACTTTCCCCTCTTTTCAGTAATATCGCGAAAAGAAAAGTACTGCAGACCTTAATGTGTTCATCGATTGACCCCAACGTCCCGGACTCTAAACCGACAACACTTGTGTTTGCGGAGGAACTTGAATTCGAACCAAATCTATGGTTATTAAGAACACTTCTATCATCAAGAAACCGATTCAAGTCAAAACCCCACAATATCCCTAAATCTTGAGCCGATGGGCTGCCAACGTAACCATTGATCATTACTCTTTTTCGATGCTGAGAAGAATTAGCATCGTGTTGGGTGAGGTCACAACCGCGACACATGAACTTGTGATGATCATAACATCGGACATAGGTTGGGCGACGTCTGCAAGACTCACAAATGAGGGTCCGATGATGGCGGTTCGAGAGAGGATTGGCTGAGTGAACCTTAGTATCACATGGAAGACAAAGATAGGCTGCATCCGCCTTACAGTAAACAACTGATCTTAAATTCACACAGAATTCACAATATCTGTCCATCTTAAGTCACCTGAAACAAATGTACCCTTTGACTTTCTTTGGTCATATATATATATATATATATATAGATATATAGATTCAGTTTCAAATTCAGAAGATAAACAGATTAAACAAAAACAGGAAATTAATTTCTTGAACAAAAACAAGGTGTTGCAGGTGTTTTCAAAATCAAAACTACAACTTGGAATAACAACAGTACTCCAAGATCCAAAACTGAATCAACAAACAGATACCCAATTAATGGAATATAAATTCAAAGAAATCAAACCTGCAATTAATTGTTCTTCAAGAAAACCTATCGAGATTCTTGATTGAGAAAGAGGGAGGGAGATGGAAGACCATAGGGATCATCATCAGAGAGAGAGAGTGTGTTATCTATCCGTTTATCCAAGGTTAGTTCATTTTCCAGGATTGAAACTTTAAAATACAGGCCGTTGTAGAAGCTTAATGCGTAATGCACAAGTCATTTAAGTAGAATTCTTCTGGATTTAAGAATTTAGGGTCTGGAAGAAAGGAATTATCCTATCTTTGCTAGCCCTTTTATGGTCTGACGTGTCTGACCTTTTATGACGTGGTTTTATAACACGTAAGATATAATTGTGGGACCCAGTGGCATCATCTGGCACGTGTCAGGTCCACTGTTAGGGCCAATAACAGTCTGCCACGTCATTTGGGAATATAGGTGAGGGGTCACATGAGCTGTTTTTTTTCGGTTAGGATCTCTTTTTGAAGATAGAATGGAAGCGTTATGGGAAGACTCCATCTGTCTCAATTAATAAAGCAAGATATTGAATGTGAGGTTTAATATAGAATAAGTGAATAATTTTTTTTTTTAAGTATATAATATATTTACATACGAAAATAAAACAAATAAACTCATATATCATCTTCATTTTATTGTTCCATCTTTGACTGACATAGGTGAGGATAGAAATTCACTGTCCCACGTGAGACGTGACAATGAACGCAAATAACAGTTGAACTGGGTGGGACAAGGTCGAACAAAAGAACTTTTTTTTTTAATCCAAATAGGTGGAATAAGATACGACAAAAAATGAGACAAATTAAAAAATTACTAATATGTTCTTCTTTGGATTACTTGTTTTAATTGTCACCATCGCTCATCATTCCACCACCACCAGTGGGCACTGTCGATCACCTCCACCACTATCATATATCACTATCAGCACACATCGTCACCTCTACCTTCAACACGTCGACCACAACTACCTATTCCATCATTGTCGGTCGTTGCTAGCACCAGTGTCCACCATCTTCATGTCCTCCATACTACCAGTCGTCCACGAGCCACCACCGCATCTACCTCCACCATAATTGTCACTGCAACAACCTCCACCTTACCTATTTGACTGCATCTTTACATCCTAAACAGTCACCGCTGTCCACCCCACCACCCCCACCCCCACTCCCACTATCAATTATAGCTACCACCGCCACCACCACCTCTACCCTCCACCATATCAACTACAACTACCTCATCCACCACTGTCGACCCCAACCACCACCACTATCACCATCGTTACCAGTCGGCAGTCACCACCACCTCTACTCCTACCACCATTGTTGCTACAACAACCTCTACCTCATCCACCACTTCCTTTGTACGAAGCAGTTTTTTCGAACTACCATTAATTATATCAAATTCTTCATTCAAATTTGGTACTATTATACATGCATACATTTATGTATATGAAAATTGTATACAAATGTTTATAAATTAAATTATTTAAATATTATTTTATTTATGTCATTTACAACTATTATGTGAAATATAAAATCATCAAACAATTTTTAGGGACAACTTGTCTACTCCAGTCATACCAAACATCCGACAAACAACTTATCTTGTCAGATTCAGTTATGTCATTTCTAGTCTAGTTTGATCATGTATGCGTACTAAGAATCACGGGTTTTCACAGTCCAGTTTGAACGGTTTAACCTCCCAAAACACAAAACAAACTACAATGACGGTTTTTTTCCCAAACCAAGCGGTTTGGTAGCAAGTGACCAAAACGATCAACTTGAACCACTAAAAGGATTATAGTCTTAATGGTTTAGATGATTTGGGCCTCTTATAGACTTTAAACTCAAAAAAACCTAACATTTATATTCAAAATGAAATTTCTACCAATATAACATTATTAAATAATAGGATACTAAATTATAAAAGATACATTATCTCTATAACCAACATTGAAAAAAAAAATATTAAACATAATCTAGTAATAATAGTTGGAATTTTGGACAATTATTGAGCAAGTCGATGACGATTCAGAATTTTGCATTTGATTTTTGACAGAATTCAGAATTTTGTCTATTTAGATGACGCGATCAATTAATAAATGAAAACTAAAACATAATGTCTTGGATAAAGTTTTTTAAGAGAAATTTACATAAATAGCCAAAGCTTATAGGTAGTTTCACTTTTTAACCATTTTCTAATAAAATTCACTTTTTAGTCAATTATTGCACATAGTTTTCGGCAAAAATAAAACATAATAAATAAGATTTTTTATGCAGAAGGTGTAATCCTTATGCAGAAAACCACTTTCTGCGTAAAAATTGATTGAACAGTGAATTTGAATCAAAAAATGAATTTGAATGATTTTGTATCATGAACCTCCCTTAACCATTCAACACTCTAATTCCATTGTAAATAATTACCGAACAATTATATTTTATTTTGTACTATATTATAAGAGCTTCTTAATCATTCTGTATCAAACCATTCAAAATAGAAAACTGATTGAAATATCTGAAAGAGTAAATTATATTTTTCATCCTCATATTTTTACTCAATATCAAATTTAGTCCTTTTTTAAACCAATCATAATTTTAATTAATGTGGTTGTCATTTTATTTAACTCTAATTAATCTGATTAATTTAAGTTAAAAAGTAAATTAACTTCAATGAGTATTTTGGATTTTTTTTTTCCTTTTCTTTCTCTTTTTTTTTATTAGATTACATTGAAATTATGATTTCCGTCCCTATAATTATTGGTTGACAAACTTCATATTAATTTGTATAATTATGTTTAATTAATTTATTAAAATAAAATACAATAAAATGATTACAAAAACAACAGTAGAGCAAGAAATGAGTCAAAAGCTTGGATTTTTATAGAAGTAGTTGGGTTCTTGTCAATTTTTCTGAGGAAAACTATACCAAAAACTAATAAATTTTCTCATTTTAAATGGTTAAATTTTTTAAACTATTTTTTAAATTAATTAAATTTTTTGATTTTGAATAATGAAATTCCTAAACAATTCTTTCAATGAAATACACCATTAATTTTTTTATATTTTTTATGATTAAAACCCTAATTTTATTTTTTTTTAAAAATAAATCATCAAATTTTTACTAGTTGGTTAATGTAACTTTTTAGGTTAATGTGATAAACGGGTTATTATGTTATATTGATTGAGATATGAAATACTTGGTTATGTACAAATGTAACTTTTGTATATTTGGGACCGAATATGTAAATTTGTATTTTTTGATATATGAAATACTTGGTTATATACAAATGTGATTCTGGGGTGTTACAATAAAAAAAAATATAGGTAACCAATTTCTAAAAATAAGATGGCTTATTTATTAAAAAGATGTTTAGTGACTTAATCAATTATAATAAGAAAGTTTAAGGATTTTTTCATTCAAAAAAATAGTTCAGAAACTTGATCATTTAAAATGAGAAAGTTCAATAGTTTTTCATTCAAAAAAATAGTTTACATACTAAACCATTCAAAATGGAAAATTTTGTTGGATTTTTTTGAACTTTTACCTTTTTCTAAATTAGAGTTTTATCCATGATTTTCTATTTTAGAGAACATGATAGCAAAACTGTTGAAACATTTTTAAAAAAACAAAAATTCACCTTTTTCTATTTTATAGAAACTAGGGTGTTCAAAAAAACCGTTGGACCGCTCAAACCGGCTGAACCAAGTCAAACCGGACCGTTTTTGGCGGTTTGAGCGGTCTGACAGTTTGGTCTGGTTTGGAAAATAGCAAAATCGGGAGGTCCGGTCTAGTCTGCGGTCTTGAACCTTTTTTGGGTGGTTTGGACCAAACCGACCGCCAAATATTTATTTATTTATTTTAGTATTACTAAGCTCAACTTTTTTAACTTATGGGCTATGACCCAAATATATCCTTAAACCCAACATAAAGTCTAACATCTAACATAATCAAATCCAAATGAATCGTCGCCTAAAAATCCCTAAACCAGTAAACATATCGATAAGAACTGTTTAATTATTACATTTATGTGTTTGGATATTTTATTTTATTAAAATAGACATTTAATCTAAAATTCTAAATTTTATATGTTTTTTAAGTTTAATATTTAAAATTCATTAAAGGCTCAAACCGTCTAAACCAGTCAGACCAAACCGACTTTTCGTGGTCTGGTTTGACCGGTCTGGACACTTAATGTCAAACAGCTCGGTTTGAAAATTTTATAAACCGCCATTACGATTTGGTTTGTGGTCTGAGGGGTTAAATGTAACACCCCGAAATTCTCTTTCGTTCCGCTACGAGGTAATCTATTATTTTATCTTATTCTTGAATATTTTATGTATATATATATATATACTTATATATATATATATATTATATATATATGTTTATGCTAATGTGGTTTTCTTAAAGAAAATAAAAATAAATTGGTGAAGGGGGGAGGTACTACCTATGGTAAGTTGAACCATGCCCTTAGTTGACACCTCATTAGGTCTAGAAGTCCTTAACCATGAGTRTGTTRTCAGGTGGAGAAATCATGAGGTAGCATGGTCTTGAAGACTTGAATCCCATCACCCACTAAAGTGAACAACCTCCACCCTTGTTTATTCCTCAAACCCATTTCCATCTTTG